TACTACATCATACATAATACCTGTTACTGGAAAAGTTGAGAGTATTCAGTCTTTTCCTAGTACATTACAAATTCATTATAAAAACCGAGATAATTCGATTCATCAGCTTGTACATGATAATATTGTGACTAAAGGTGACAATATGCAATTTCTTCTTGGAACCAAAAAGTCTACATCAGACAAACTATACGTGGAATTTGTTATTCAATGTCCTTTGAGTAAGGATTCCTTATAAATATGATATGTTTTGTTGTTCTCAACATTTTAAATTATGCCTTTGAATCGTTTCAATCAACATTTTCTACGCGCTCCTACTAAGACTCTTCCTTCAGAGGAACTTGTGTCAGCAACAGAAAATAATCAATCCTTAAATTATGCATTCTACATTTGTGATTCTTTTGACTATCATGTTAAAATTATACTTCGTTTGAAGGGTGACAAGAAAACTAATTTGAACAAAGATTTTTATGTTTTAGATAATGGTGGTATAGCATATAAATTTCTTCTAACAGGAAAAATTGATAGCGTAGCGCATTATTCTGCTGACGGTGAAGTTTTAATTAACAATTCATCTTACAAATTCCATCAATTAGCTGGCAAAATTATTAACAAAGGTGATAAAATAGTATTTAAACTGGGTACTCCTTCCTCGATTTGTATTGATATGGTTTTACAGTGTCCATTAGTGAAAAATGAGTAAAGCACAAGTTGTAGCCGAACTTCATAAACCGGCACGAATTAATTATAAAAGGCGCCATGTTGTGGTTAAAAATCTTCATGATTTACTGCAAAGTGATTTAGCTATAATGTCTTAATTTTCAAAAGAAAATCGAGGGTACAATTATATTCTCATTGTAATTAACGCTTTCAGTAAATTTGTTTGGGCAGTACCAGTAAAGCGAAAAACCGGTCATGATATTAGTAATGCAATGAAAACGATATTAGGTCAAATGAGAATTGTACCAAAAAATTTACAAACCGATATGGGAAAAGAATTTTACAATAAACAATTCCAAGATCTCATGCAACATTATGGAATTAATCACTATAGTACATTTACAAATGTAAAAGCTAGTATGGCAGAAAGGGTAATTAGAACACTAAAGTCATTACTCTGGAAACAGTTTAGCTTAGAAGGTTCACATAAATGGTTAAATATTCTTCCAAAAATTGTAGAAACATATAATAACACTAAACATTCAACAACAGGGGCAGTTCCAAGTAAAATCAATGATAAAACTGCAAAATCCATTACCGTCTTTCAACAAATTAAAACAGTAGATCCAAAAAAACCAAAATTTAAAAAAGACGATTATGTTCGGATTAGTCGAGTTCGTCATACATTTAACAAAGCTTATACACCGAACTGGACGACTAAAGTTTTCAAAATTAAAAAAGTTAAGCTGACCAATCCAATCACATACATTTTAGAAGATTCTAAAAATGAGGAAATTCAGGGTGGGTTTTATACAGAGGAGTTACAAAAGGTAAGAGACCCCAACGTGTTCCTTGTGGAAAAAGTTCTTCGCAAAAAGGGAAATAAATTGTATGTTCAATGGTTGGGTCTAAAGGATCGATCATGGATATTAAAAAAAGATTTATTATAAAATGTATAATTTTAATTTTTAAAATAAAAAATTTTTAACTCTTTTTGTATTTTTTATTTCCATTATTTTTTAAAATTAGTGTAATAGGGATTGTATGTTTTTATAATAATAAACAAGTAAATACACAAAATGTTTTATTTGTTGATAAACCTTATTTCTATGATTAGTATCTAAAACAGGATTAATATAAATAGCAGATTCTTGAATGCGACGTCTGAACCGGTCTCGATCAAGGGCAGCCTGTTGCCATGTACTGCACCTTGCTTCTTGGTATGCATAGTTCCACGTGTATAGAATGTGCACTTGTGGTTTACAAAATCGTACTTTTTTCATGATTTGTTTCTTCTATGAGCAGCTCAGGATAATTACTTCCAATCCAAAAGTGTACATCTCAGGGTTCAGTCTTTTTATAGTTTCTAACAGAGACAGTGATGTCTCAATTATTTCATTTGTTTTTATTCCCGCACGCAAAAGATTTATAACTACACCAAATCCTTGATGTTGTAGAAGCTCTAATCTGTATTGAATAATTGGAATTAAATGCCACAATTTTGATATTGATTTAAAGCCCAACCGAACACTAGAGTCACCAGTATAAATTCTTACAACACTAGTATGTGTAAGCTGTTTTACTTCAACACCAAATCTTCCTATGTCTATTAAGTCTTTAACGTCCGATTTAACTAGTAAACTGTTAATTATCTCTTTGTTTGTTACAAAATAATTCCAATCCTTTTCAGAAAAAACCACCATATCATTTTTATTTCCAGATATGATTACACATGGGTTGTAATTTAATTGAAATGATAAGCAGACTGATACATACTTTGATTTTTTTGGATTTAAGTAAAACCGCCGTTCACATAAAAACACATCTTTTTGCATTTCTGAAGTACACATTACTAACAATTTATCTCAACTATTTCTTTCTCGTTTTTTGTTTCACAATATTAAGGTTTCCAACATGATTCAAGGTTAAATGAAAGGCATGTTGTTTATTTATCTTTATTTAAGTCTTTCTATACATGCATACGTTGGCCTTGCCTTATTTATTGTATTTGCAAATATCAAAATAGATACAATAATAATTAAAGTCAAAACTATACAAGTCAATAAATATAATTTAGAAAATTCCTCCTGTCCGCTAATGATACTTGTAGTGGAAGGCTCCAAGAAAACTGTTTGCCATGTATTTTGATCACTTTCAGAATTATCGGAAAATATTATTTTTAACTTATAATTAAAAAAAGTTAAATTTGTTTTTGGAATATCTGTTTGAAATACTGAGAGATGTCCATTATTTTCTTGGGAAGTACTTAACATTTTCCAGGATGTACGATTACACTCTTGTTTTGTATTGTTCATATCAAAACAAACTGCTACATAATGGGCACTATATGGTACGTTTGTGTACAATATGTTGTTGACTATTGCAACCAAAATAATATAATTTGTTTTTAATAAACACATTTTTAATTGCTAATTGAAACTGTGCACTCTCTTTAACAGCTCATTCAACACTGACTACCTTCCTATTGAATTAACCTATTAAAATAAAACACATTAATAAATAAACAATTTTTTATTTATTATTATTATTTATTTCTTGGTGTCGTTTAACTTCCTTTTGTCGAAATCTTTTTTTAAACTTTTTATTTTTGGACACCGGAATAGTTAAAATAATGTTTCGATTTAAATTTGGTTTATACGTTGGATAATCGTCTTCGTTGTCCCAATTTTCCTCCTCCTGTGGGCTTCTTTCTGGAACGGTTTTCTGTGAAAAAAAAAAACAACATAAATTTGTGAATATATATATATATATATATATATATATATATATATATATATATATTGTTTAGGTTATTATTGAACTCAAATACTTACCAAATTTAATTTTTTAATACTCAATTAAGATTTGAGGAACCAAAACCCCTGTCTCCCCTCTCAGTGTAACTAAGAGCATTTACTTCTTCAATTTTAGGAATTGTGCATTTTTCAAAAATAATCTGTGCAATTTTGTCACCTCGACTAAAATAAACTTCTTCACTTGAGGTATTATATAATAAAACTTTAACTGTTCCTCTGTAATCAGGATCTATCACTCCAGCCAAAACATCAATTCCTTTATTAAGAGCCAATCCTGACCTAGGGGCAATTCTACAATAGACCCCTTGGGAGAATTCCATTTTTAATAATATGTCGACTAAAAATCTAGACTGTGGCTGAATAGTAAAACTGCTAGGAGTTTTAACATCAAAACCCACAGAATAAGGTGTGGCTCTTGTAGGAATAAAGGCACTTGCATCAATTCTCATCAATTTTAAAACCTCAAATATTAATAATAATAAAAATAATATATTAAAACATAAATATAAGAAAGAAAAAACTTACCATTTGTTCAATATCAGCCATGTTGTTGTTGTTGTTGTCGTATGTTTGTATGTTACTGAGAGTGAATTAGGAATGGTATCTTTCATGTATTTATACCAGTATTTCCTTTCACTTTCAATACAACTTTCATGATTTCATTATAATTTTTTACAAAATACAGGCATTTCATTCCGAAAAATAAAAATTTTAATTTAAAAATTAAAGATAATTCTGCTGGACTATGAGAAATTCCAAACAAGCATTTGCATACATCGCTAATGCAGAGAGAACCATAATTAAGAACGGAATGTTGTTATGTAATTGATTCAGACTTCATTCTCGGTAAATAGCTCCGGGCAAACATGTAATTATTAGTAGGTTACCGGAATGAAGTATCAAGGCACAGTTATTTGAATAAATTCACTTTCAAGCCTGAGGCGATTATAGATCTTATACAAACGTTTTTAATAAACAAAATATTTAATAATAATAGATTAAATATAAATTTTTTAAAAATAACAGTTTGCTCTTGAGTTTTAATATTAGGAAAATAACGTTAATTTCTAAATATGTCCAATCAATAAAAAATTGTTTAATTTATGTTAGTGGTTGGGTCATTAGTAGACTGAAAATATCTTAATGGGCCATTATGTTAATGGATTTATTTAAAAATAGTAATGAGTAGTTGTGGAATAAATTATAAGGTCACTAAGAAAGAACTGCGCAGGGGAAAAAATTTTAATTTATTGCTAGTTAAATGTATAGAATTTGCAAGCGTATGTAGTTACGAAATTGTGATTATGTAAATTGTTGTTGTTGGTTGAAATGTACTTTCATTGAATATAGGAGTGAGATAGATAATATTGAGTACTGTTTTATTAAATGTTGCAAGCGAATTAGGAAAGAAAATGCTATGGGTGGATGCTAAAAGTTAGAATGGTATTTAAAAAAAATTACCTACCATGCTCTTTGATATTCTCCTAACCAGTGGGAAATCAACAATACTATTCACCAAATTAAAACATGACTATAGACAACTACTGGCTTAATCCTCCTACGTCAACGTCAAACCGGATTAATTCTTTAAACGAAGGATCCAATGATGGCGATAAACAGACAAAAGTAAATGTTAAAATACCGAAACCTCCTCCAACGTTTATTGCAAGCGTCAAATATATAAAACCATTAAACCTCGTACTAAACTGCATAGCGAAAGAAAATGACACAATCAGGATTCTAAACGATGACCAAGTAAAAGTTTAAGCCAAATCTATTGAAATGTATAATATCATTATAACAGCATTTGATGGAAAGGAAACTGAATACCACACATATCACAAAAAAGGAAATAGATCATTCAGAGTCGTTATAAGACATATACATCCAACAACCAACCTAGAAGAGATAAAGGCGGGAGAAACTTTAGAGTCAAGGGCATATTATGAACCAGATCACAAATATACGACATAGAATAACAAAATAGTTTTGCTTACTTTTTAAGGAGAGCAGTTTTAACATTTTTTAAATTTGTAATCAGTAAATACTCAAATGTTTCTGATATTTAACCAAAATTAATATAATATATTATAATATATAATATATTAAAGGTAATGGAAACCTATCTTTTATTATATTCCGGTTAAATTTTCGGTAATCACCGCAAACTCTGATCTGTCCGTCTTTCTTTTTGACAAGTATAATTGGACTTGCAAAATCGGATGTACTAGGTCGAATTATTTTTTTCTCTATCCATTCCTCAATTTGCTTAGTTACTTCTTGCTTTTCTGGCATTGATAGCCTTCTTGGGTTTTGGTGTATCGGTTCTTCACTACTTAGAATTATTTTCATTTTTATATCTGTAGTCTTGGTCTGTCGTGGTTCATAATTGTCCACTAATTCTTTTATTTTCATCTTGATATTTGGGTCTTTTATATGTTCCAGTTGTAATCTCATTATCATATTATCTACTTCTTTTTTGCATACAATAATTCCATCATCGGTTATGGTAACCTCCGCTTGTTTTAGTATATTGTTTCCAAGAATAACTTCGACGTCTAGTGCTCCTTTTGGGATTACATGAAATAAAATATGAAAATCTTCGACTTGAATTTCCACTATTATGTTAAAAGAACTTAAAGTTTTAACCTTAATTCTTCCTAATCCATTTAACTCTACTATATTCTTCGTAAGAATTACTTCGGATTAATGAGGGCTATATGCCTTATTATCATGAACTAAGAGGCGTCCGAATGACTCCTAATGGACTGTATTAATTTCACCAACGCTTGATTTTAATCACACCCCGTCCCGGGGTGGTAAGTTTGTCTAATCCTTTTTTAATATAAATTAGAATGAAAAGTTGAGTATAGTAAATACAGATTTTATTTCTGAATAAACGCTAATACTAAAAGCATGGACCTTATACAAATATTAATTTAGCACAATTTTGTACCTCAATATGAAGTCAGTAAACACTATATACCATGACGAAATAGTTCAGAATTCAAATAAAATGTAAAAATGTTTTTATATCTACCAAGTCCTCTCCTGAGCCATGTTAAAACTGGAATCCTAGCTGTCCTTACAGGTCTTCTTTGTTGTTGAACCGTAAAGTGGTTGTAGCACTTATAAATACTAGAATTTATTCTTGTATGAATACGGCACTCTTAGCTAATTTTTACACTATTACAAATACTTCAAATTATAATGTATGGTACTGGTACGAGTTACCATAGATGAACTATTACTATTCTCCAACTAATTGCGAACATATTTCATCGATAAAAAACCATGATTCTCATTTCGAGATAACTATTATAGCAACATTCGTACAACTCCCAACGGTGAAAAACACGTCTCGATTCTCAATCCGACTATTAGCGAAAACGAAAGGTCTGTACGCCCACAGTGTGAACAAGGCACTTCTCTACTCTCAAATCAAATATTAGCGGAAACGACAACGTGTGTACGCCCCAAAAAAGGACAAGGTACTGGCTGTTTAAAGTCGATCCGACCTCCTTCCGATGCATAATAATTCCCGTGAGCTGTGACGTCGGTTGTTTACGTTTTAAATTCTAAGAACATGGCTTTCGAAAAATAGCCTCTGTTAATATTTAGGCAGATTCTCGGAACAACGTCATCAAAGTGCTTTTCAAAAATATCTTGTCTCATTGCACTTATGTCACTTCCTGTATCAAACGTGCACGTAACGATATTCTTCCAAATTTTAAGGTCACTGAGTTTTTGTATACCACGTCAATGAGATTTACCTGACCAGAAGTCGAAGGTCTATCTTCTATAGCATTGCATCGAGAAGAAACGTGTCCAAATTGGTTGCATTTGAAGCATTTCGTTCCCTTGGCTTTATCAGGACAATCTCTTGATCTGTGTCCTCGATTTCCACAATTACAAGAACATTGTTCTTCTTTCTTAATTCTATTTTTCGACGTTCTTCTGTCATCTGTCGTATTTCATTATTTCTGCCATCTCGTCGTACTTCATTGTTTGTCCACTTCTTTCTATGCGTTTCAGTTGTAGATGATTTATGTGTTGTCTGTCTTTTAATGAGTTCATACAATTTAATTTTCTCCTTGAAGTCTATGAAGTTGTATGCGCCATAAAGCATAACTTTATTAACAGGTTCGTCTTGAATGCCTTCTATTGTATATTGTATTATGACCTCGTCTTCTTTGTTACCTCTGCTACCAATTTCCCTCATCGTCAGCACATACTCCTGTACACTTTCATCATGTTTTTTCTTTCTACGCATCAGCATTTTATGTATTTCAGCGCTACTTATTTTATTTTCGAATTCCGAAATAAGTCTTTTCTTCAATATTTTCCAGCCATTAATTCCTTGTTCTGACTGAATATAAGTTTCGCAATTCCTTTTAGGGATCGTTTGGCAAAAATTAGCATTTGCAAATCATTCCATCCCATTAACTCAGAAATTTCTTCGAAGTCAGTAATCCATTTTCTTACCGGATAATCGTCTTTTCCGTCGAAGGGTCTTATGCTGTCTTCTACGTCTTTAAAAGTCAAAGCAAAAGAATGATTTACTTTACCGGTCGTCATTCTACCTGATTTTGTTTTTTTCTTCGTCTTTAAAGCCATCGTTGGCCTACTTTCAGTATCATCCTCGTATTCATTATCGTCTTCATCGTCGAAACCGTCTTTATCTTCATCAGAAGCTTCTTTATCGTCATCTGCGTCGTCGTAATCATCGCCATCTTCGTCATTTTGGTCATCTACATTTAATTCATTCAAAAACGAACAAATACGTTCAATTACATCGTCATTTGCACCCGAATAATCCAGATCCAATACGTTACAGACTGCAACTAAGTCTGGCATATCTAGTTTCTGTTTTACGTCGTTTATCTTATCAGCATATTCGCTGGCATTTTTATCCCATGCAAAGCCTGAAAAATTCCGCAAATTCCTTCTTGTTTGTCGCGGCACCCCTTCGTCTCCATATGCTATAACGTGCAACGCCTTAACAGCTTTATATGTCGACTTTTTAATATTATGACTAATTTTTTGAAAATCGGTAAGAGTCTTTTGTTTAGACTGCATTTCAAAAAATTTATATCAAAGTTATTTAAAAGAAAATTAAAAAAAATTAAAAAGTTAAACGCTTAGATTATTTTTCTGAGTGTAGTCTAAATTATTATTACGTGAACGAGGTTGTGGTCGCTTTTAATTCGCAAATCTTATCTCTTTGTATTACTACAATAATATAATAAGCACAATAATATCTGAAAATAAAACAAAATATCCTACTACACGATTTTGATTTTAACATTCAAATTAAAATATTATTATAGAGTCAATTTTCAACTATCATTATTAAAAAGTCCTCACATCAACAGAAAAAAGTTAAATCAACAAATATTTGCAAATATTTTAAAAGTTCTTTTTTAAGTTCATGATAGAAAAATAATCTTCGCAAAGTCACCTGATCATTTCTCATCATCCAGTGGGTCCAAACTACTCCAAACATCCATAAACCATAAATTAATCTTATCGTAGTCGTCGTCTGCCAACAGCCATTCCTTGTCAGTCGTCACGATTACAGCCAGCCTCTTATTTTATACTTGATAATTCGCATATGTTACAAAAGTCACGTCTCACGTCGCGTCGTTCGTCGTTGATTCGATTTTGTTTAGCTGAAAACTGCACTGTCTTATTGCCCGTATCTTGCATTCATAATTCGCGGCACAAATAAACGTTACTGTCTTTTTCGAAATAATCCCGGTTGAGCCCCCAAAAATGTAGGATTTTACTAAAAAAGTTCTTTTATTATTATAAAAGTGGATTCCAATCCTTTAATCAGAAAGGAACCAGTAACCTCCAAAAAGCAGTGCCGTCCTAACTTTGCAGACATCTACGGAAGGAACACCAAGTGAAGCCCCTGGTAGATTAGCTGTCGAGAACAAGACGACTAGATGGTTTTGGAACTAATGTAAGTCTAATATTGAATCATCTCGTATATAATTTTTGTTTTATACCATTTATTACCATATACTGTTCGATATTCCAATATTAAATATTCTTTAAATTAATATTTTTATGCCAAATTTGAATATATTTTTGATAATTACTTTAATAATTATAAACTTTTGGCGATTATTCTGTAAATCGTCAACTTTTTTATTTTCATTTTGTTAAACGATTACTTTTGTCGATTATTCTGCTAATCAGATACTGTCTTAGAAAAATACTTTACCGATATTTTGATGCTCGCTTCTCGTAATGAGAACCAGCCTGAAATAGAACTTTAAAAATTATCCGAAATATTTTCTATCGTATCCGAATTTGAAGGCGATCAGATATTTCTACACACATTTTTAAATGCTTGTGATTATGCTTACAATATGTCTACGCGTGATCAAAAACAACTATTAGTAATTCACATAAAAAATAAATTACGCGGAAGAGCAGCACAACTTATAAGTACAAGAAATCCATTATCGTATCTAGAAATCAAACAGCTTCTTACTTCTCATTTTGGAGACACTAGAGACATATCTTCTTTGATACAAGATTTACAGAGAGTCAAACAACTTCCGAATGAATCGGCTCTTACATTGCTTAATTGTGTTCAAGTCCTTAATGCAAAAATGCATGCTAACATACAGAAATCTAACCTCTCTGCTATAGAGAAACAGGCCCAAATTGTATTAATCGAATCAATGGCGCTCAATACCTTATTGACTGGCCTCGATCCAAAAATCGCTCATGTTATTCGTGCTAGTAATCCA